AAATTAGTGCTCTTCGAAAATTGAAAATAAAGTGTAGAAAAATCATAAAAATGCCAAACCAGTTTTGTTAGTCTTCTAAAATTATGATCTACCTGTTAGTATAGTTTGTTCAGATTGTTTGATAATATTCGTGGAAGCTATATAATTAATTTAAGGTACTTAATATTATAAAATATAAACTTGCTGGAGTTTCCATGCTAAATCAGTAATATTGTTGAATCTAAAATTTATACAGTAAGCTCCTAGCAATATTAGGTACTCACTGTAATTTTTGTAGCTCCAGAATAATTAGTTTGCTAAATAGATAATGATGTCCTATTACAAATAAAGATTGAATTGATAGAATAGAATAAAGAAACAACTTGGGTTTATATAACTAAAATATTATGGGAAATAACGCCTGATGTGACAACGTGGATAGGTAGCCTAAGTACGGTCGTCATTAAAATGAGCTCGTTAACTTGAGAGGCGTAAATCGTACTTTACGAGTCACGATTGCAATCAATTAATTATATCTTTGCATTTGGATCGCATTGCATCTCATATAGGTATGATGATGGATCAACGAATCAATTGAAGGATGGTTGGGAATCCGAAGATGGTGTAATGGTATTCTCTCCAGGAGATGATGCAATGGGCTTGTTATTCAGCTGATGGTGGATGATCGGAAGATGCAGATACTAACTTTTTAATATATCTTACCCAGGCAAGCCCCGGTGCATAACCCCTACTTTCTGCAGTTTAAATTATAATTGTGCATTAAGTTTTAAGGAGTTGATTGAAACCCACTTGCATATACCTATCTTTATCCTATGAGTCTTACTAGTATGACAGGATCGTGTAGAATGCTATGCTACAGGACTCCGGTAGAAGTCGAGTGATGGCTGTCACTCGCGAGAGATAGGAAATATATTATTGGATTATTATCACTTAGAATATATAAATGGTGGAAAGGAAAATAGTGACCGGGCAGGGATATGGTTTGGGTATTGGTGGGTATAAGAGGTTGTGTCGCCGTGGATGCGGGGCATAGCTTGGTCACACCGTTTTCCTCTGTCTGGTTGGTTAAGGACCGGTCGTTGCATAAGGCTCTATGCAAGTCACAGACTTATTATTCCAAGCACATACTTGGGTATGGTCTCTTGGAAGACTTGTTGCTCTCTTGTCGCGGATCTAGCCCTTTCCGGACCGACTAACAGGGTTTATTTTTTGTGGAGGAGGTCCTTGCACCGCTCTGAGTCCGAGACTCAGGGGCGGGGGCTTGGAGTCCCAGTTTGGATGGAGACCTAGACACCCGGGACAGGAGAGTGATGGATTGGTCCTGCTTGTGCCTGGGGTACAAGCGGGACGTTTGTTTTTGGGGTATCCAGCTGGGGGCATTGATTCGTGAATCGCGGGAAAATCTGGTACGGCTCGTCTGCGGCCTAGCATCGTAGTAAGAACTGAAGATGAAAGATGGAAGATGAAAAAGAAAATCTGATTGCTTACCACCTGCTTGAAAGTAGTACATGTGCTTACATAGAATGGTTAGTTAATGAACCAATACGGCTATTAAAAAAAATCAAATATAAGGACGCACGCTTAGTAATGCTTCCTGCAAATGCAATAAACTCACAAGTCAGATAGCCTTGCATATCCTTGGAGTCTTTTTCTTTTCTCTTGTCGGGTAAGTCTTGCTGAGTACAATTGAGTACTCAGGGTTTTATTCCCCCTGTTGTAGGTGATAGGTGGATGCTAAAGCTGACTCTTATATGTGGATTCCTCTTGGTGGGCTTAGCGATGATTTCTTTACGTTGCGATCGTAGTTGTTATTTATAACTCTCACCAAATGCTTTTATAAATGAAAGTTTCATAATATGTTGTCGTAGTTCATTTATCAATACTTCATCATGTCATGATTAGATATTTATTTCCACTATAATTCTGATCACATATTTATATTCCGCTGTTAAATTAAATTGTTCATAACTCTGATAATATGATTATATTCCGTTGTTATAATAATAAATACTATACCCTGATGTTGTACTAAAAGTGATGTAAGAAATGGTTAAGAATGATGTAAGCTTTATTCTCTCATTCGTGATCCTGATGGCAAAAATGTGGATTTTCGGGTTCTCCTCTGGGGTGTACCCGACGAAACCGAGTAATTTAGTGTTCTCCCTTGAGTGCTTAGTGTCTAATGGAAGACAAGCACTTCTGTGAGGCATTAGATTAGGTGGTTCTGCCACATACTCGTCCGAGCTGTCAAGCGAGCCGTCCAAATCACATCCATCTACTCGGACATCATGACTCGCCGGCTCCTCTACTCCACTCGGCGTCAATCAAGCTAAGTCATGCTTTAATATTTTCTAATCTTCATATGTCGTCGATGTCTTTCCATGTTGTTTTCTCCATAATTATTCTCCAAACGACTTTTTCCTCCGCGTATACAATCTTAAAGATGACACACGCTTTTGACTCAATAAATCCCCGAATAGTTATATTGACGCTCGGATGTTTCTAGAGACGGCCATGTCTCTGGTTTCTCCCTACACGTGCACGAGCGCCTGCCCTCTACGTTAGGGGTGGTCGGCAGCGCCTCCTTAGCGACGCCTTGCTCTTCCTACACGCACACGGGCTATGCGCTCCGCGTTATGGTTAACAGGCTAGCTAGGGCTGGAGACTCAGCTACACACTAACTGGTCGGACGGTTTATATTAAATATAAACACATCTTTAAAATAACACTAAGTGTTCACACTAACTGATCGTCGAGCTGCATACGCTATTTCATCACCATTGCTGATTCTTCTCTAGAGTTCATATATTTTATTTTTACATCTGTACTACCCATTCTACACATTTGTGTCGCAGGGGCACGGTTCGGTCAACGAGCTTACGATCAGGGACTAGACAAGATGATCATCGTCTGGGTGGTCAGAACACCTATCGGACGGACTTCACCGCCAACCAACTGGTCGGATTACACGGCACTCACTCCTGCTCGGCGTTCACTTCACCATCGCCCAGTTAGTTGGACTGCTCATTACATGGGCTTTATCGTTAGCTACGCTGGGGGGCTCGCGCAGCTATGCTGGGGACTTCTCGTTGTTCGAATTCTTCGTGCAAGCGTCGTCAGCTAAGCTGGAGACTCCCTTGGTGGTCAGATCTTGCTACGTCTCATCGGTGTACTATCAAGTTGCTCCATGCTTTTTTGGATCAGGGTACTGATCTTGGGCAGCACGTCCGGGTCTTGTGAAGTACATGGCAGATGACGTTGGCAAGCTTTCATTAAAAAAATCTTTAACCCTGCTATATGATATCTTAAAAATCTTCCAGCAGGCTCGGGGACTATGTGTATACATGTCATCTAGCGATGACTGTATTTATTTCTACACTGGTTTCCAACGACATTGGGGACTGGGCCAGCACCTGAAGACTACTACTTTGGATCTTGGCACTACGTGACTACTTCACCTACTGCTAGGCTCGGGGATTAAGTGGGCACACTTCACCTCGCGGTGAATATGCTTATTTTTCGACTTAATCTTCTACAAAGTGACTAAGTTTCTCTGCACTGACTAACTCAAGGACGCTAAGCATCTAACTTCGACGCCCAAAATCTAAGTGGGCACACTTCATCTAAGATGGAGACTTCAAATTTTTCTTATCATGAGCCCCTTACATCCTTCTGGCAAACCTGAGCTTCGAGTAAGTCTGGGCTTGCTCACAGTTGAACTGCTCAGACATCGTTCCCACTACTCTGACAAGAGCTCGGATGACAGTTTAACTGCTCGGACGTCTATTCAACTGCTCGGATACTCGCTTCAACAGCTCGGCTCCTAGTTAAACTGGTCGGACACATGTTCCTGATGATCGGCAGCAAGTTGGATAGCTTGGACAAGCTCAAGGCAGTGTTGCTCAGCGGATACAAGGCGCTCGGAGACTAGCTGTAGGGGTATGACCCCCGATACCCACAGGACAAGACATGAGCCGTATCATCAGAGGTGGTCCATCCCACAAGATCAAGGCATGCGGCGTACGGCACTGGTCGGCGCGCACCGCAAAACTACAATAAGATATTGTAATACAAAATATGATATTTTCATTGTAATCCTACCCCTCCAGAGTATACAAGGAGGGGCAAAGATTCCCTAGTTGACATCCCGATATAGATCCTAGGCTTAGCCTAAGGCATCTGATCATACGCAATATAATCTACAAAGACAGGACGTAGGGTATTACGTCAAGCTGACGGCCCGAATCTGTCTAATCGTTGTCTCTCGCATTCTGTGTCACCATCTGGTTTTCACACACGCATCTTTATCGATTCATCTATTATCGTAGGCATACCTCTCAGTAGACTGACGGACGTATTTCGTCGATAAATGGATAGTGGTTCACGAGTCGCTGAAAACGCTAGAATACGAGTAAAGGAAAGCAAATTCATGGCGTCCAATGAACACATGGCCAAAGATTTCGTTCTATCATATTATCCTTTTCTATCTATATGGAATTATGGATGCTACAGTGAACAAGCGCCGACGAAAGAAAAAGAATAAAGGAGCGGTGATTCGTTCTTCTTTCCCTCTTTCCCTTTGGAGGAAACCACAAAAATGCAAAACCACACGACATGACGACGGGCCCCGGAACAGGAGAGAAGCAAAAGCGAAAGCACCCCCTGTCGTCCAACCACCAAAGCATACGAAGAATCCGGCTCGGCCCCAGGAAGCACAGGCCCAAGCGCCCAACCAGGCGGGGAGCCGTCGGATGTCACAAAACTGCCGAGCGGTAGTCGAGCGAGCAGGACACAGGACTGCAGGAGCACAAGTACTCCTCGTCGGTCCTCAAGTTGGGGGTGCACACGTCATGCAATACAGCGCCAGGGAGCCACCAGCCCAGCATCACCCTGTGGCCTCATCCTCCATTCGACCATTCCTCCTCGCGGCTCACAGAAACCTCAAAACCCAACCAGGCCGGCGTCCACAGAAAAGAGGAGAGTAGAGAGAGTGGGAGATCATGGAGCTGTGCGCCTCTACCACCGCCTCCGTCCGCGCCACCGCCGCGCCCATATCCTTCGCCCCGCCCCGCCGTGGCGCGTCTGCTTCCACCGCCCTTCCGCTACACCGCCGCATCCCAACTCGAGGTACGCCCTGGCCCATCCCTCTCGCTCTGTATCCGACACGCTGTCTTTGTCTTGCTTGCTATAGTCTGATGTTTTCGCTTCAGGCTGGCGTTGCGCCAGTGCGGCCGTGCCTGACCCGGTGTCCTCCGAAGAGCCTGCCTCCGCCTCCTACACCGTCGTCGTCACGGACAAGCCCGACACGCCTGCCGATGACAAGGTCGAGGAGGTTAGCGCCGCGCCTAGTGGCTCCGCGGAGGCGCCTGTAGCAGAACTGGTGTCGTCAGAGGCGTCCCCGTCCCCGGATGACGGCGGTCTGGATGAGATACTAAGCAAGGTATCGCCGTGCTGCTGACACGTTACCTGCTTTGGCGCTTTGCTGTTCAGGGTCCCAGCCTCCCAGCAAAGCTTTGTTTGCCTTTCCATTCCGCTGCGTGCCACCTTAGACTGGTACAGTGATTAACTCTTATGTGGAATTAAACCAAACTGAAATGTTTTTTAATCTTATTAAATGAGTCCTGCAGAAAGACAATGGGCTCAATTTGACAATATAACTACAGCTGAGCAAAATAACAACTGTTGTCCTTGGCTCCTTGCTGTAGTAGTAAGAGTGCATTAACCTTTCCAGACTTTGCTGTAAGGCAGTCTATACAAAATAAAGAGAATCACCTAGGAAAATATAACATCCGCAAATGCTGTTTTGATTGGGCCAATTAATCACATTATTGCCTACTTCGTGATCATTGTCATAATGGGGAATTTTGAGGTCCGGTGCGGAACAAAAAATTGGGCCCCGTTACAAGTTGAGGAAAAATAGATATTATTCTCTTAGCATTATGTCTTGCCAAAAACAAATATTTGAACTTTTGCAATATTAACTAGCATGATACGTTAGTTTTTACTTAAACTGTGCTATCCTTCTGCAATGAGATGGGAGTTAATTTCTTGGGGATTTTTTTTTAAAGGACGGCAAAAGTTTTGCCGCAATCTTTATTAGGCGGGGAAAAGACAAAAAAAGGTTTTAGTACAAAAAAACAGCTATTGTTGCGGCGATTGTTGACTGAAAGGTTAAAGTGAGTGAGAGATATGCCTTCTTGCGACTCTATGGTGGGTATTAATTGGAGGTAGGGATAATGCGTGAGCCTTAGGAGTTGATTGGCCGTGGGATGAAAAAGACTTTTTTATTGTTAATTTATTTGTTATCCATCTATTTTGTTGATTAGTACTAATACAAAGTATAGTAGTTAAAAAAAATAGGGGCCCAAGGATTTTGGAGGCCCTGAGTAAATGCACACCGTGCACATGCTTGCCGTATGGGCCTGTTCGTGATGTATATAGTACATCTAACTATCATTTATTGTTTTATATCACCATCTTACCTGTAGAGCTTGTGAATCAATAAGCTGAGTGATTAAGCTCTAGTTTAACCCTTAACATTTGCAGAACTCTAGAACTCCAAAGGCACAACATGTTATGAAATTACGAATATCTTAGGTTTGTTGCTCCAGATTATGCCAGACTTATCATGCTATGGCATATTTTATTTTGGTAACGCATTGATTATTTTTAAAATAAAAAAGATACTACATGTATTGTCTTAATGTCATGATTCTATAGCAGCTTTCATATGTGAAGATAATTTATTTTTCAGATACAAACTTTGTCTTGGATGAGTTATTCATTGCCATCTTGTTTCTTACTTATATACCGTGCCTATATTTTCCAGTTGAACATTGAAGTGACTCCGACTTTAATCCTCACTGGATCTGCTGCCTTTGTTGCTTTATGGGTCCTATCTTCTGTTGTTGCTGCAATTGATTCAGTCCCCCTGGTACAGAAGTTACAGTATGCCTTCATGAAATCTGCACTTAGTTTTAATACCAAATGTTCACTAACCTGCTTGGCTGACTCGTAACAGCTCCCAAAATTGCTGGAATTAGTAGGAACTGGTTACTCAATTTGGTTCATCACACGATATCTCCTTTTCAAGGTACATCTTTTTTTGATGGAACTTTTCAAGGTACATCTGAATCCTCAAATCTGAATCACCCTATAAAACTGCCCCGATTGTACATGTTTCTTTTGTGTTCTCAGTGACCTGAAGACCGGTTTCCTTTTTCAAATTTTCTATATATGCAGGAAAGCAGAGATGACCTGTTTGCAAAGTTCGAAGATCTCATACAGAGGATTATTTGATCTATCGTCGATGTTTTGCCACGTGTTTAGGCTTTACAGCCAGCTTATTATTAGGTTTTCTCTGTTTTCAAATATTACTGAAGGTGTAAAGAAGGTCGTGTATCTAAATTTTCTCCTCATGGGGTCTGTTATTAGACTTCTCAAGTTTGGCTAGTGTGCTTCTTCAGGTCACTATGGATGTTTTTTACTCAATCCTATGTGTATACTGTCAAGTAAAGCTTTAAAAAGATGAGTACGATCAGTATGTTCTCACTCCTATGCAAGTTTTGAAGTCCTATTTGCTACTGTCCAGTAAACATCTCAGATACCGTATGTTAAGCTCGAGCCTTCTGTGAGACTGACGGAGCTGCAGCTCAACTTAGATGACTTTCAACGATGTTTGTCCTGTTCGCTGGCTGATAAGCCATGGCTGAAAGTACTGTTGGCTAATTTGTTGTTAGAGAAAAATACTGTTTATTGACTAAAAAAGTACGGCTTATAAGCAAGCAAACAGGGCAGCTATTCCTTTCTTTTTTGAAATCCTCTTTTAGGTCTTATTTGGATACATGTGTATTCACTTCAATTCACATGTGTTGAAGTGAATTGAAGTATAATTTAGTTTAATTCCACTCCAATCCACTTCAATACATGTGGATTGAGATGAATATATACGCATCCAAACAAGACCCTATAATGTAGCAAACACATCCCTTAAAAAGAGAACATTTGTACATTTTGTCATGTACAGAGTGCAGTATGTTCGTTTGAGCTTGTTTTGGCTTGTTTTCAACCAACAAACAGTATTTTTCTCTCACACCAAATCAGCCAACAGTACTTTTTAGCCATGGCTTATAAGCCAAACACGACCAAGCGAACAGGCTGACCAGAAAAAGTTTAATATGTTAATGAGGTTGTAGATATACTAGTTTCCGGGAAGGAGCATGATACCACTCTGTTTTCCGTAGACATTCAAATTCACTTAACGTCAACATAAAGCGCCAAGACAGAAACAGACGCTTACATTGCATAGGTTAGGAACAGTACGTTACATACAAGGAGCAGCAGGAACATATCTGCCTCTTTCATTCAACAACAGCTGATCGACAAATAAAAATCAACTCTGTTGTAGGATGAACTCAAGTTGTCTTTGGCTTTCAAACGTGGCACTGCTGCACTATATCATTTTCAGATCAATGCTATTTTACAATTAGAGATTATCCGACCCCTGAGCGTGTTCACCATACTGAGTACCTTATGCCAAGACCATTGCAGGTAAGTATTAGCCCCTTGTGCCGGTTCAGGTAGTCCTGAAATTGTTGGCAAAAAAAAAAAAAAAAAGTGTGAGAACCATTGTACGACAAGATAACAACAGAAAAGAATAGTTGCTTAATGCTTACCACTACATTCTGATCTTGAACATATAGAATGCCTTTCTTGTCATACTCTTGCCTTTTTGCAGGATTACTCAGAACTGTTAAAGAAATGCTGGGGCTTCAGAAACAACAGCACAAGATCAAGATGTATCATAATAGACCATGATATGTCTTCCCTTATAGAATGGAAAGTAATGTGCTCAACTGCTCAAGTGTGACGACCAACTATCAACTATGGATACGTGTATACCTCATATCTGCCTACAAATCTAATGCACGGTTTCACAGCCTTCTAATAAACTATCCAAGATAATTGCAAGAAGCAAGCAACGAATATTTCCTCCAAAATGAGCACAGAAGTGTTGTCAAGCTAGTGAGCTAGGAGTCGAGGACAGTACACTGCTGTTTTTAACTGGCTGAAGCTGTTGCAAACAATAAATATAAAAGGGCGTACCCAGTGCAGAGAGCTCCCGCTCTGTGCGGGGTCTAGGGAAGGGTGTCAGTGGCAAGCCTTACCCTCGCCTGTGCAATGTGAGGTGACCGCGACTCGAACCCGGGACCTTCCGGTCACAGGCGGTAAGACTCTACCGCTTGCACCAGACCCGCCCTTCGCAAACAATAAATATAATAGGCATTTTTTGTTTAGATTTATGGTAGCCATTGCGTCCTCTCTCTTGTACAAGGGCATATTCTTAGTCTTGGAGCAGTTCAGCAGCAGCATCTACAACAGAGACTTTGCTTGCTTCATAGCCAAAGAAGCACTGGCTAGCATTCATGGTTATATTACGACCTGATTTGGTACTTCTTAACTATCTTAAGGCATTCAGATGTCGCGCCATCACTAAGGAACAAGAATCAGAGCATCTATCACTATAAGTGCCAAAGTCTGAGTGCTGATACCTAAATTGTTTGCTACTCCTTAACAATTCTCAAGCTTTAGTGAGTCTTAGGAAATATTCCTAGCCTCGTGGAGCTGTGGTAACAACTCCTCTAAAACTCCTAAAAGTACCATAAAATTGAGAATAGTTTAGCATAATCTGTGACAGTGATGGCTGAGGAACCATGGCCATATATCTCACAGTTATGTGTAGGCACATTAGCGTACACTAACATCCAGCCTTGTATGGCACTTTGTTACTTCTTAACTCTAAGGTTATACTACAGGAAACACAAAGGTGAAAAGATGCTGCTTGAATGCAATTCGAGGACACTAACAATGGCTTATGCAATACATGAATAGGACTACAACTTTTTCTCCTGCTAACAATTTACTTCCTGGCCAACTAATCAAGCTCACCTTGGTATGCCTCGTTAATTTCCTGAAATTTGGAGGTTGAATTTTCTTCACCCTGCTTCTTATCAGGGTGCCATTTCTATACAACAAAATAAAACAAAGAAAAAGATAAATAGTTGTTATAACTGAACTCTTTAGGAGACGAGAACAATACAAAAGATTTCCATCAGCAGAATATAGTATCGTCAATGAAGTAAACCGTGAAGGAGGATACCACTTCAGCGAACTAGTTTGCATAGGAACACTGAATCTGAACTACAGAATTAAAGAATAGTATAGTCATTTTGTTGGCGGGTCAGACACTAACCAGTGCAAGGCGGATATAGCTGGACCTGATCGTCTCCTCCGACGCATTGTAATCTACTTCCAGTATCTTGTAGTAATCCTGCACACAGGTACAATCGCGCAATTAGCATACAACACGGTACCTAAGAACCCTAGGCGGCTAGGCGCGAGAAAGGGGGGAAATGGAACTCGATTCTCCATGACATGGTCTCCAAATTCCGAGCGGTCTGGGTGGCACCGTGGCAGAATCGAGGGGACAACTGGTGCGGGGTAGCGTCCCCGTCGCGCTCGCGCCTCACCTTGGGCTTGGCAAGGAGGGAGATGAAGTCGAAATCGACGGGGGTCTCCTCCCGCGGCGCCTCCCCACCGCCGCCCTCCCACTCCCACCACATCCCTCACCGTGGGACTGGGTCCTCGCTCCGCCACCGTAGGATTGCTCTTCCTTCCGACGCACCGATTCTTTTCAGGGGTCGGTTCGGTTCCTTCCCGGAGATGTCAGTGGCGCTGGCGGTGACGCCGTGGCTCGGTGGATTCTATGGGCTGGACGAGAGAAGTTTCTAGATTTTTTTCCCTCAACTCTTCGTTTCAGGGACTGGAGCAAAACTTGACACGACCGACGCGGCCTCCTCGCCAGAAACTTTTCTTAGGCCGAGCCCAGCAATAACCAACACCTCCTAGGCCTGGCCTGAATGGCCGGGCCTTCTGTATTTGAAAGCCAGGCACTACTTTCCTTAGGCTGAGCCCAGAAACAATTCCTTGGCCTGGCCTGGCTGGGCCTTCTGTATTTGAAGAGTTTTGGGCTTGGTAGGTTGACATCCCTCTGAGTCCCGGACCATTACTCAACCCTTTCCACAGGTTTTAGTGTTGCAGGCAGCAGAACTTGCTTGGAGATCCTAATAAAAACGCAATACTTTGCTTAGCTAATCTCTTCAGTGGCAGTGGAGTCGACAGAGAGAGAAAAAAAACATGCATGAACGTGGCTTGTTCGGCATGATTAGTCTACTGCAGTATGTCAAAACTGGATCGCGCTCGATCAACCCAGTTTGAAACTTCGAATTAAAGTTGTGTTAGCGCTACGCTCTCTGCGCACCACCGTGCACTCAACTAAAATATTACGTATACTAGGACTAGTAGTACTTACTATAATAACACGGCAAAAAAAGGCTCTAAACTAGAAATCAGTTCCTGAACACCAGCTTTCCCTCGCGTGTAAAGTGGCCACCGCCCACCGGGATGATAAGCAAGCGCTGCCCCGCATTCGGAATTTCGGATCAAAGGCCCCCGTCCACGGAACCTGCCGTGTAATCTGGACGCCAGCTCTGCTTTGCACCCCCCCACTTGCCAACAACAGTGCCGAGACGACGGCGGTTCCGTCAGAGGCATCGACAGCGTGACATTCCGTAGTGCTGAAGGAAGCAAGATCTCGCGGCGAAATTGCTTCACATGCTTAGTTTAGTACCTCCGAACTCATGAAAAATGTACTAAGTAAAGTTTGATGTCTTCGAAAAATATTATTTATATGTAGAAAAATATAAATATAATACGACCGAAACTAATTGCATGCTTGCTTTAAAGGGAGAAGGAGTCCAGGTCCTTCCGTCCGTCTGTCGCCAGCGTGACATTCCGTAGTGCTGAAGGAAGCAAGATTTCGCGGCGAAATTGCTTCACATGGGTGCAGTTTTCACACCGCGCAGTGACCGAGTTCAGTCAAGGAAAAACACTGTACAGTACGTACTTAGCAGCAGGTCAGAGGTACAGGCGTTCTACTGCCAGCTTTTCCCCTCGGAGCCGGAGCGCCGGAGCGGGAGGAGAGCTCAACGGGGCGCATCCTTTACGTGGGGTGCAGGTCGCGCTCGCAAATGCGTTCCATGTGAGCGTCGAGTACGTGAGAGACGCGACACGCATGGCATGCGCCGTGCCAGCACCACCCGCCGGATGACCGCACCGTTTCTCGTCTGACAAACCGGCGCCCTTTTCCGTGTCGCAGTCAAGCAAAAAAAGCTAGCCCGCTCCGTGTCTCCCTCTCACACAATGACACAAAAAAGAGGGAAAAAAACGTTTGCTGAAACTGGGAAGATTCAACCAAAGATGACACTGTGGACAACTCTGCGTCTTTATTTGCCATCGCCGTCGAAAAGAAGAATGGCTCATGGAGATAGGGATATGCTAACAGCTTGACAATTTTCTACAGTTACTACGTGCACGGTCACGAAAAATCTTTCTATCGATATTAGTGGGTAGAGTAATTCACTGATCCAGAGTTTCAGACGATAACCGGGATTGTAATAATATACTCTACTCTATAACCAGAGCAGGTATAGACGCAAATGAGATGGGTGGTGTGAAATGAAATCCTCTGCAGTTAATTTACCTGTGTGTTTTGCTATCTATAGATAGGTCTGATGTTTATAAAAGTTACCTTGCACCGTACGGGCGATGACAGTAATGATTCTGGGATTATATGAGGGCAAAACACTTTTGCACAACCCCTCCCCCACCATCATCCCGGGCCCACATGTGCGCCATTCCAGCACAGTGAGCAAGAAAAGCGAGCTGGAGCCTGGAATGGAAGCGACGCACTGTCAGTGGCAGGACCGCTCCCCGCCCGCTGCTATTCCTGCGAAGCACCAGGGACAAAACCGTCTTTAGACCACGTGATAAACATAGGGTCATGACTCCTTCGACCACGCCGTTTGAAAAAGATACCGACACGCGGGCCCCGCATCCATGTGACCCCTCCCCACGGCTTCCCATGCGCCGCCCCAGACACCGAACACCGGAGGCCCACGCGCTGTACCGTCCTCGATGCCCGCCACGCGTACGTAGCCCTGCCGAATCGAACGGAGCAGCGTGCGCTGAGGGAGACGAAGCGGGGCCGGGGAGGCGAGCGTTCCCACCGGCCGGTCCACACTCCACAGTCCACCCCCACCCACTCCACTCGGTCGCTCCACGGAGCAGCGCTTGCGCACCGCCGCCACGAGCCCACAACGTCCCAGCCACCACTAACGTTTCGACCGTTACGGGAGGGCCCCGTCCCGCGACGTTGCCGCGCGCGCCCTGACGTCGTCAACGCTGCTCCGGTCGGTCGGTGAACGCAGCTGAGTCCAAGCCACTCTCCCGTTGTGGCTTACGGGGGGAGGCTTATGTAACGGAAAGAAAGGAAACGGACGGCCAAAAGAGAATGGGCCAGCTATCGTTGGGGCGTTTTTTTGCATAGCCCCTCCTGGTCAAGATAAAAGCTATTGCTTGCATAACTTAAGGACGGTTACTGCACCCGGCACAGTGTAATAATAGGAAAAGATAGTAAAAATGCTGCGTGGTAAATTGGCAACGTTATTCTCGAATCAATTGTTTCCTTTTACGCCGATGATATGCTTCTATTATTTTTGTCCCTGGTGAAGGACTCTCGTTTAATCGTTTTCTTCCAAGGGAAGGAACGATATATTTCTATGCTTCTAATAAGGTAATACCGCGCCAACAGAGGGTTTAACTGCAAATTCGGTCGTCCCTTTTCAGTTTAGGCCGTGTTTAGTTCCGAAAATTTTTGGCTTTTGGCTACTGTAGCAATTTCGTTTGTATTTGGCAAAAATTATTCAATTATGAACTATTTAGACTTAAAAGATTTGTCTCACGATTTCTCGACCAAATGTGTAATTAGTTTTTTTCGTCTACATTTAATACTCCATGCATGTACCGTAAGATTCGATGTGACGGAGAATCTTGAAAAATTTTGTGTTTTGGGTTGCATCTAAATGGGGCCTTAGGCCTTGTTTAGATTAAAAAAATTTCAACCCGATGAATAGTAGCACTTTCGTCTTATTTGATAAATATTGTCCAATCGTGGACCAACTAAGCTCAAAAGATTTATCTCGTGATTTTCAACTAAACTGTGCAATTAGTTATTTTTTTTATCTATATTTAATGCTCCATACAAACGGCTAAAAATTAATGTGATGAGAGAAAGTGAAAAAACTTAGAATTTTGAGAAACAGGCCTTATTCGAAGGCAGTCGCCAGTGGGGTTTACTAATTTTTCTAGTACGGCCACGAGCTAATAAACACGTCTTGACCCTTTCCTCCTCCCCGTCTCCCCCTTCGGCCCTTCCCCCTCACCCTCTCCCCGTACACTCCATTGCGCTCCACGCTCCCGTCGCTGTCGCCCACCGCGCTGCTCGCAGAGTTCGTCCCGACGTTCGTCCGAAGAAATTCAAATCCGGGCGCTCGCGTCACTCCCAGCCGACGAATCCGCGTGTCGACTCGGCTCCAAGGTAAGCATTTTCCCCTGCACGATTCGGCTCCCATTCCCCTGAATTCCTCCTGCGTTCAAATCTGCGGCTGTGGGATTTTTTCCGAGGATTTTTCGGGTGTGGAGATCACCCGCATTGATGCGGCTGGTTCGGATTTTTTCTGATTTTTGCTGGATTTGTTCGTCCGTTTCAGTCGGAACCCGCATGCGCTCGCCATGTTCACGGAGGGGCTAGATCGCGACGCCCTCAAGTGGGTGCGAGAGGTGAGCGAGCTCGCGGCGCCGCCGACCCTAGCTGGTTTTAGCTGCTGCGGCCTCGGGTTCCCGTTCTCTGATGCGTGTTTTTTCTGTTCCTGGTGGTGTTTGTTGGTGGAATGCGTCTGCAGGGCCAGGGAGCGGCGGCGCTGCATAACCACGACCGGATGGACGCGCTCCGTGCCGTGCGCGGTGCGGCCGGCCGCGGCGGGCTTGGCATGCCGACGCCGGAGAAGTTCCGGAGCGGCCACATGCCGCGCGGCGCGACGGTGCCGCTGTCACGCTCCTCGCTGCGCAGCGACGACGGCAGCGCCGCCTCGGGATCCGACATGGACGAGTCGTCGGACAACGATGAGATTGAGGTCTGCAGCGGCAGGTACTCGGTCGACTCGTCACCCCGCCGTGACGACGTGTCCCGGCGCACGGCAGTGCCCCTCTACCGCTACGCCACCATGCCTGGGCAGCAGAACTACTACTCTACTGATGATGGTTACTCGGACTTGAGCTCTTCTCGAGACACAGCACTGCCAAGATCTAAGGCACAGCCGATGGGGCGGCCCCAGGCACGGGTTGTTGAGTATGCTGATGAGGAGTACTCGGACTCTCCAGGCACCTCCGAATTTTCTAGCCAGGTGGAAGGGCAGAGCAATGGTGTGACCTCCAAGGGTGGGTATGCATCAGAGTACTCCCATACTGGTCCAGCCCGAAGAGAAGTGAACAATTTGGTTCCTAAGAATCGGGCAGCAGCTGCAGAGAGGATGCGATACCAACATGACAGCCATTCTGCTCATGTCCCCGCTCGAGAGGATGTGAAATCAACACGTAAATTGGTTAGTTTTCTTTGTTTATTTACAAAGAATTTCCATTCATCTACCCTGCTTTTTTTCTATGT